CATCCCTTAGCTCGGAGGCCGACAGCTCCTCCCCCTCTCCAGAGGGATACAAAGTCGCCCCAAGAAACCACCCAATACCTGCAATGGAAAAGCCAGTACAGAAGAAAGAGGAAAATATCATCTCAAACATACGAAGACCAAGGTTAAAGAAGCACACGCGCATACCTTGGTGTTTCGCTTCCCATCTGCCCCGGGACACAGCTCGCCACCTACGCTCGTCGCAAGACGAATGGGTCGCCAACATCTGAACCCAACCGGGCAAATCGGGAACTTCGCCCGACGTCCATGAAGTTGCTGCAGAAAAGGAGGAAATATAATTACTCAACTAGTTTTTGCTATAAGCAAGTCTAAGAAGGCACGAGACACTCCACGCACGCGCATAATTCCAGCCCTCGGGGAAATGGCATGAGCTCCACGGGGATAATGTTAGATGTCCAAACCCAGACGAATCGGCTGTCCCACTCTTGATCCACGTCTTCCTCATCAACAACAACAAAGGGCGTAGGCGAATGACACTACAGGGTTAGAAAGTCTCGATGGTAAAAGGGTCGGTACAGCCTGATGAGGTGACTAAGAATAAATTCAAGCCCGGCCTTCTCCGCAAAGAATCTCATCATCAGCACCACTCACCAAAACGATGGATGTATCTGCACCAAAGTAACCTGATACTTCAAGCAGAAATCAAGCACGACCCTATCAAGGGGGCTTAACGCGAAAGGGTATAAGTATACGTTCAAGAATCCATCAGCAGAGTCCGTAATACTCTCTTCTGGGGAAAGTACCTACAGTGCTACCCCCTCGCCCTATCCGCAGTCTCTCCTCACCTTCTCTAGATGTTCCTCTCTTATCAAAGACATAGTCTTCGGAGTAAAATCCCATGGATTCTGAGCACTGGGAGTGGAACTCTCCCCTCCCTGCCGGGCTGGTCCTGAAGTAGGTGCCATGGCTATGGTAGAATTGGAAGACTAAAGTATGGGCCTACACCAACAATTTTGTGCTTAAGGTAACAAAGGACCCGATGCCAAGGCAGAAAGATAGCTATCTAAAATAATGGGATCTTCCAAAGAAGCAATAGCCACCTCACATATATGTGGGAAACAGCAACGATTCACCTATCCAGGGTAAGCCCCAGGAGGCCAACGACCTCGGCACGGATCCCAGAGTGGTACCTAACCTAGAAGACCTCCATCGACAAGAATTAGGCATCAAGGAGCCAATTTCATCATCTCCAGTCCCAAGGTGGTGCCTGACCTCAAGGACCTCAATCAAAAAGAAGTCAGGCTTCAAAAAGCCTTCAGCTCCATCACAGAGCTCAAGGCGGTACCCGATCTCATGGTTTTCCTTTCTAAAAAAAATAAGCACTTCAAGCTCCGCCTGCGACGGCTCGACGTCAGGAAGTCGCCTAAATATGAGTAGCCCCTTCCTTAGGGGCCTACCTACAACACCTTAAAAGGTTGTCTACTCTAAGTTCAGAGTAAATGCTCCAAGTGCCCGAAATTGATTTTCACTTTGGTGCCCTATCTCCACGAGGCTCGAGGGCCCCGACAATCCAAAATTATCAGACCATTTCACGGTTGATCCCAGAAACAATGGTGAGCTTGGGGAAGAGCCATTTCTGTCGACCAAAGGCCAGAAAAATATTGGCAATCGTCAACAGAGGAATACATTCAAAATCTCCGCAAACGCACAAGAGTATACGAGAACATACAATAATAGGGCAAGTATCCAAAACAGGAATCAAGGACGTATATATTGATGAATATTCATGTACAACGGCCCTCGAGGGGCCCTCTCATATGATTACAAAAGCCTACAGAAGATCTCTACACAAAAACGAAGAGGCAGAAGGATGTACATGTGATGAAAACCTAAGAACCCAGTCCATCCTCGAAGGTCCATCTCCGGTATTAGCATCCTCGAGCGTCGTCTCCTCGAGCTCGCATCCTCGAAGGCAATTCCTTCGTCCACCATCTCCTCTAAGTTCCCAGCTCAATCATGCAGAAGGGCCTCGCCGAGGGAAAAGATGAAGAAGAGGAAAATGAAGGGATACAAAGGAGGCAGAGAAAAGAGACATAGCCCGCCGAAGCCAAAGGTTGAAGATTCAGCAGGCCCTAGCCTCAACGACCGGGGGTTCCACTTTATCCCTTGGGAAAGGAAAAACCTAAGGTATGAAGTAACCACACCAAGGCTGGGTAGGAGAGTGAGCAGCAGTGTATAGTCCAAATGACTGTCTACAAAAGGGGAAAATTGATTCCCCGTCTATCGTCATCTCGGGCCAATAAGGGCAGCAGCAGCAGACTCAATAACAACGGCAGCAACAACAGAACAACATAGTCAAGCCCCGGAAAAAGGCCACGACACGGCCTATCGAAAAGATGCCAAACGACCTTGAGGTCGTAGACTCTGAACATGGTGATCAACAATAGAGGAAGATGATAGGGAGAAATGGGAAAATGAGCAGATGAAGGTACTTGGATAGAAAAACAACGCCAGAGTACCCCAATTTATAAGGGGTAGCGGCACGATCATCGAGGCTTTGCAAGACCGACCGACGGATGCAATTACTATGTTCTTTAAGAACCGAATCGACGGCGATACATTTACCTTGGAGAACGAAAATCGACAGTGCATTGAATGATGTCAAAAATGCAAGTCCGTGGGACATCCCGGTTGTCGCAAAAACTCGCGCCATAGGTTGCATCATCGGTATGACATCACCGTGAGAAGCTCATAGAGTCAGCTGTCAGAATCATTTCCCATCACTTTATTCTGGGAAACACGGAGACTATCTATATGCGGAAAAATTAGAGGGCTTAATTTCTTGCTATCGAGCCACTTCGGGAAAATACCTCGAGTCCCCTAGGACGTGGAGTTGCAACCGAGTCCCCTCCCTTGAGGCTCATCGAGGCTCGATTCAAAGAAGACGAAGATCGAGACTAGAGCAAAAGGGGAAATTTCCAAGGCATGCGACTATGTCTGACAGAGCCGACCTACCCAGAGCCTGTGTCGAGGCATCATGTCTAGCCATCCCATCTCCATGTTTTTATAATTAATGTATGTTGTGCCATAACCAGGTTCCTCTCCTATATAAAGGGAATCCACACCAATCTGTAAAGATGGTCTCCAACTATTTCTACACAAGATCAATAATATCTTTCTCCCTTTTCTTTTTAACTCATCTGCTCGGGGCTACTTTCTCCATTTCTTGCTTCCATACTTGTTATTCATTTATTGCTCAATATTGGCTACTAAGAGCCTTGTTCAATTATTTTCTAACTGTTATCCCCTTCCTAATTACCCTCGATAGCTCGAGCTCGAGCCAGATATTGACCTCAAGGTCCATCATCGATCAGTCCGAAGCCCGGGCAACAAGCCTCTCGGTTTGATTACTATCTCATTTTAGCTTGTATCTCATCGTTGAACTTCAGACTCCTAGCATCAGCCGCTCTAACAAATAGCATAAAAATAGATCACATGTTTTTAGAGTCCCATTTACAAGTACCTTCATGATAAATATGCTCGTGGCAAGGAGTTCAAAGTGGGTGATTTGGTTCTCTTATTCAACTCTTGATTACGTCAGTTTCCAGGAAAGATTAAGTTGAAATGGAGTGGACCTTTTGAAGTGGTATTTGTGACTCCGTTTGGTGCACTTGACTTGAAGAACAAAAATGGGGAGGTTTTCAGAGTTAATGGGCACAGGGTCAAGCACTACTTGGGCAAGATTGATGACAGCCACGTGGTGGCACTGCTCCATCTAAAGTGATTTGATGGTGACCTGCGTCGTGTCGCGACATTAAATCAGACGCTTCTTGGGAGGCAACCCATGTGTCTTTCTTTTTGTTTTTATTTGATTTTCTTTGTAGTATAGGATTTACTTTTGGACTAACTGGTTGTGAGTTGCTATAAGATTGTTTTGATGCAGTGCAGGACTAAGTTGGAAAAATGCACACTCTCTGAAGTTTGCTGTGCGGACCGTAATGCATTTTGTGCGGCCGCAAAGGCCTTAGTGCGGGAGCAAAAAGTCAATGCATACCGCAGAGTTGATTGGTACAAAATGAAGAGTCTCTGAAGTTTTCTACCACGACCGCAATAAATTTTGTACGGTCCACGGTAGACCACTGCGACCGCATTGCATTTCTTGCGGTCGCAGTGGTCATCTCCCCAGTGCCACATGTTTATGAATACCGTGGACAGCGGTGCCATTTTGTATGATCCGTTGTGGGTAGGTGAGATGGACCCCAAGTCCTTTTTCTGTAAATAGAACCTGAGGCCCTCAGTTTGAACTTTTCGACCCTTTGCATTCAAAAGATAAATAAATCATTGTTCATCCCTCTAATTGCACGAATTCAACTGCTAAGTCTCGATTAATCAACATTGCATCTTACTTCTGGTAACTTTAATTCCTTCTTAGTTGTTTAATTTTGCTATTTTCTTTTAATTTTTATTTTTCTTAGTTTCTCTTCTTTTTCTTCCCGTTTTTCTTTCAAATTTGTAGCATAGGTTTGTTTAATCCTATTTAACTTAGGAATAATTAGTTCAAAACACTAATTCAAAACATAGGGAATCAATAATAGGTGAAAAATTGGATTAAAAACGTGAAAAATTTGAAACCTGGGTTGGTATTGTTGTTGAGTGCTCACTGCGGACCGCGATGGATTTTGTGCGGTCCGCGGTGCTTCTGTGCGGTCTGCAATGCTATTTTGTACGGACCGCGGTGATGAAAGTTCTGAAAGCTGATAAGTGAGGACCGTCAATGGATTTTATGCGGTCCGCAGTGCCTCAATATGGACCGCAATGTATTTTGTGCATTCTGCGGTGCCTAGATTCAAAGAATGGGTAGTCTGATCCCATCCTCAGTGCGGACCGCGGTAGCTGCTCTGCGGCCGCACTTCATTTTGTGCTGTCCGCATTCTGCAATTCTGACTGTCTGCAATAATTTTTCTGCAATTCTTCACTGACTCTACTGATACTAACAAAACTCAACTGTATTCTCTTTGCAGATCATGGTGAAATCACAAGGCAGGGGTGACAAACAAAAAGGGAAAGGAGAGTCCTCCCGGGGTAGGGGACAAAGAATGATTAGACTGACCCCGCAAGCTCGGCAAAACATCAAAAACACCAGAAGGCTTATAAACGCTGCTGATAGCGCTATTGACCAATCCGGGAGTGAATATGAGCCTTCTTGGGAGGCATCTGACTCAGACTCCGTGCCAGAGTATGTTCCTGACTGGCTGGAGAGGAACAAATTGAGGGATACACCTCCAGGCTCTCCCACTGCCCAAACATCAGTGCACATATCTTCTAAGTGGTTTGAGGGCTTAGCTGCAGGCAGTGGCAATGAATATTCCACCTCACTTACAACTTCACTATCTTGGGAGGGTCCCGTAGAAGGAGAAGGAGAAAAATTAGGAGGGGGTGAGACCCAAGTAGGAGGGGTGGAGAGAACCAGAAATCCGGAGGCATGGCATGACAGATTTGTGAGTGAGGTGGCCTACCACAAGTTCAGGGAGTGGTGGCCCGAGAGGAAGCTAATACCAGAGCGGAAATTCATTACAAAGGACCTCATGCCTCACAACCCCAATGTGCTGAGGCAATTCATGTAGAGAGTAGGCTAGGACTACTTCATAGGCCATGTGGAGGATGCCAATGAGCACCTAGTCAAGGAGTTCTACATATATTTTGCCCACATCAAAAAGGGCACCACAGTGACTAAGGTGCAAAATCTGAAAGTGAAATTTGATGGCAAGATGATAAATGATTAACTGGATTTCCCGGAAGAGTATGAGACCTTTTACTTAGGCAAGGTAGCTTTGGGGGAGGATTCCCGACTGTGGCTAACTGAGTACTTGGGAATCCCAGGTACCACCCCAGCATGGTTGACATCAGGGGTAAAAATTCTGAGGCAGACCCTTAAATTTGAAGCAAAGGGGTGGGAGACATTTGTTTGTAGCCGGCTAGACCCCACCACTTACAACAACTCCCTTCCTATCCCCTGATATATATTGGTGGCATCGATCATGGTGCGGTACCCGATCAACATCGTGAATGTGATGTCAAAGGTGATTACAGGGGTGGTGAACGAAGGTGATAGATCCTATTCCTTCCCCAATTTCCTGACCATGTACTTCGAGGAACTAGATGTGGAGAAGTGGAGATTTGATGTGAAAGTGAAAGCAAAGGCACCGTTCTCCTGGTACAATACCAAGGGTCCCGACAATTCCAAGGACCCTAAGGGCAAAGCCACTACTTCAACTTGCCAATCTGAAGAGCCAGTAGTAGTAGTGGCTCCTACTCAGCCTCCTTCCGCCACAGCAGACATGGCCCCAGGACCTTCCACTTCTACAGCTCCAGAGATCCTTTCATCCACTACATATCCTTTGACTACCCAGTGCCTGAACTAGACCCTTGCCAGTATCAACAACTGGATGCAGACAACCACTTCTAAGCTGGTTGTACTATCTGCTTCGGTGGCAGCCCAGTCAACACCTCCTCCACCACAGGTCCCACAGTCAGTGGAGGACACTCTCAAGAAGATCCTAGAGAACCAAAAATTGATCATGGATGTTGATTCTCATGGAAAGGCATTAAAGGAGCTTGCTAGCGAGGCCGAGAAAATGAGAAAGACTCGTGCTTCAAAGGAGTCGGTGAAGGAGTGAAGGGTGGAGGTAGAGAGGCTGAAGGCTGATCACTTGCCTTTGGATCTGTTATTGAATGACCCGGCTCCAGCAGCCCAGCCCCAGCTAGAGGAGAAGACAGATAGGACACCCAAGAGGAAGAGGGTGATTCCCCGTACTGACGATGTCATTATAGAGTTGGAGGACCCGCAGGGGGTCCTCTAGCCAGCCCCAGATTCCAGTACAGGCCCAGGACTCAGTCCAGGCCCAGGTCCCAATGGAGACACAGAGTATATGGAGCCAGTCACAGGTTCCCGAGTAGACCGAGGACCCAGGGATCCAGACTCAGGATCCTATGTAGACGGAGGGCCAATATAGAGTTTCCTTTTCCTCTCTTCCTTTTCTTGAGCTTATTTTGGTTAGTTAGCATTGAGGACAATTCTAGCTTTCATTTGAGGGGGTAGACCTATTTGGATGACTATTGTGAGCACGCGATTTTTGCCCTATATGAATTATTTCCATAAATTCAAAATCAAAACAATGTTTTCCATTTTTTGCAATTTTGCGGATTGTTTTGTGGCATTTTCTGTTATTGTTTGCATTTGTCTGTGCATATTTATTTTATTTAAATTATTTAAAAATAAAAAAATATGTTGCATTTTTTTTTTGCATTTAGGATTTAACTTTGCATTTATAAGAATTAATTAAGTAGCCTTACAAAAATAGAAAATCACAAAAAATAGTTTATTGTTGCTTTTTAATTTTTAATTTTTTTTGTAATTCTCCCTTTAATTTGGTACTTAACTTAGTTGTGGTAGTAATAATTTAGAGTTAATTAAATTAATTAGATAACTTGGATTAGGAATTAAATTATGTTTTTATTTTAGTTTAATTTAAAAGAAGTTGTGAAAGGAAAAGAAATGAAAATAAAAGGAAATAGAAAAGGCTGTATTTGGGCCAAACTTGACAATTGTCCCCAAAACCCAACCAAAACCGGCCCAGACCTGCCCCAATAGTTGGTCTGTCTCCAGCTTAATCCAAACGACGCCGTTACAGGCGTTTTAATCTGGACCGTTGAATTAGTTTGATCAAATGGTCCAGATTCTCGCCCATTTCCCAAACCTGACCCGATCCAGAACCGAATCGGTCCCCCCCCAGTGAAACAAAACGACCCCGTTTTCCATTAATGATTTAATAAGAGCCGTTGGATGATTGGAATCCAACGGCCCTAATTAAATCATCAATTTAATATACTCAAAACCTCAAACCCCTTACCCCTTCAGAACCCTCCCCCACCCTTATCATCTCTGATCTCTCTTCAGAGACCAGCCAAAATTGCCGCCTCAAACCACCGTTGATCGCCTGCCGGAAATCGCCTACGGCGGCGGGCAACCACCAAACAACCCCAAATTCACACTATTGACTCTCCTTCATCTCCCCGTTCCGAATCCTCAACCCATTACCTTCGAATCATAGTCGAACTCTTCGAATATGGGATCGAAGGTCAGACCCTTAAACTCTAACTTACCCAATCGACCCCAAATCAACACCACCTAACCCCCATATCTCCCTCGTACCAAATCTATTATTGTTTTCCCTCGAATATTGCCAGAATCTCTCGAATCTTAAATCCGAGGTCGAGCCCTAAAAATCAAAGATTGTCCTCAATAAAACCTAGTGGCGTGCATGGTCATATTATGTTGTTTCTGTCAAAGTTTTGAAGATTAGATTCGATGAAGACTGATGTTGCTCAGTTGTTCTTGACAAAGAACAAATGTGTAACATCAGTCTCATTAAATCAAGGTCATCAAGATGTTGTTAATTTCTGAAATGGTAAGTGTTTTCATTCCTTTAATCCATTTCATCTCCTTTATCCTCTCCCTTTGTTTAGTTAGATTTTTTTACTCCCTTTGAAAACTCGACCAATTTGTTGAGTTCAAACTGTTCTCTGCTCGTTGTCCCCTTTGTTTCTTTTTGTGAAAGTTGTTCTATGATTCTTATTGGTCTGCTGACTTAGTTCATCTAATTAGGTCATTTGTTTTAATAACCTAACTAATTTCATGTTTGTTTGTTGATATTAATCAGTCATATAGTAGTTGTTATTAATCAGTCGTATGTTGAATCCATTTAAGTAGTTGATTTTGTTTTCTGACTTCTATATGATCGCAGAAATTGCTTTGGATCACAGACAGTAGCTCAAGGACTTTGGGTCAATTTTACCTGTTTGTTAGGTTTGAGTAATTAACAGGGGTTATAAGGGTAGCCTAGGGATTATTTAGGTTGTGTGAACCTTACCAAACTAATTAAGAAGCTTCTAATAGTGGTAGGATTTATGAGTGCATTATTGAATAAAATAAAGAGCAAAGAATTGAGTGGAATCAATTAAGAAATTGGGAAATGGGCATTTGTGAATAGGGAATTGATTTTAGGCTGCCTTAAGAGATCATATATAAAGCTTGTTTAGGAAAAGACTGAAGGAGAAGGGATAGAATATAGAGTCCAAATAAAAAGAAACAGAGATATAGAAGTTTAAGAGGGAGGACAGAATAAGAGAGAGACCTAGGAGATAAAAATCCAAAAATACAAACGGCTGTTTTTCACTGTTTGATTGAATTCTTTTTGTGATCTCTTCAGTTTCTAATTCCTGAAATAGTTTCTAACTTATCTGGGCATAAATGATTTGAATTTTGTGGTTTAAAAGATTGGTTTGAAGTTCTGGTTGTGAATTTTTGATTTTTGAGCATCAATCTTTGGTTTAAAGCTGTTTTTTTCTTTCTGTGGTTTCTTTCTGCTGCTAGATACTGTTGTTGCTACTGCTGATCTTATCTCCTTTACTTTCATTTCCAGGTATTTCCTTAGTCCAGAAATACTGATTGAATGCTGGTTAAGAGAATCAAGTGGAATCCGATGGAATATAGGCTGTATTTGCCATAGTTTCTCTTTTTTCCCTTATTGTTTAAATACCATGTAGTAGATTGGTAATGGTAAATGTTAAATGAGCTGGTACTGGTATTATAAAATGGGGTTTGTATTTTAGCCAATTGTTTAGTTTCAACATTAGATAACATGTTTAGAAGGTGTATGAGCAGGTTTATGGATTGTTTGTATGGCAAATGAACTGTAGGCCTCAATTATTCAGTTTATTTTGATTTGTGCTCTGGATCACAAATTTTTTGCTTAAGTTTCTGTCAAAAATCAGTAAGGTTTTGGCTCTAATGTTTATCTGAATCCATTAAAATGTTAGGTGTTTTGCTTGTACGTGTATTGATGTTGTTTTATAAGCATGTTTGCCCATGAGCCTAAGGTTTGAGATCATGTTTGTTCATTAGGCCCCTTTATAAGTCTCCATTTATCATATAGATAGATTAAGACAAGGTTTGAATGAATTTGAAATTTGTATGACTGTTCTTATGAAGTTATTTAAAAGACTGATGTCCATAGTTCCAGCATGTTTACTCATGAGCCATAATAGATTAGTGATGGTTTGATTTGGGAACATTTGGTCAATTATTCTATGTTAAGACAAGTGTAAATATGGAAGTTGACTAGGCAATTTATGTCCCTTAGCTAAGAGTCAGGAATAATTGTAGGTTTAATCCCACTTAGCTTTTAATCTAAATTAATTGTTAGTTTGTAAAATCTGGGCTTAAAGCCAGCCCAAGTGGCGAAAGCATTCTCAAGTACGAATGCACAGCTTTGAGCTGTTTTGGTTTTGTCGACCTTCATCATGACGGGCCTACTTCAAGCCCCAAAGCTTGCAATGACTTTGGTTTAATGTTAATTTGTCACGTTAAAAATCTGACTGCTTTCAGTTGTTGTGGAGGTTCGACATGTGTATCTCAGAATATTATATTTGCACATGACCCATATGGACTAGGCTCGTTGATTGGGCTTGAGTTTTTCTTTAAAATGAAGTAGTACTTTCTTTTGGCCTTCAACAAATATATTAGGCAATATTTGAGTAGTTAGGAATCCTGCAGTTTTCTTTAAACAATTAATATTTTTTTAGAATGAGGTTAGCCATACTAAATAACGCAAAATAGCTTATGGCCCTCCAAAGCTTAGTTTGAATTCCTCTTTAATTTAGAACTGAGGTGCGCCATGACCAACAAAAATGACCATTGTATGGCCCTCATTTAATTAATCTTGTGTTGATCCTTAGAATTCGAGGCGCGCCATTTAGAAATTTTCATGGCCCTCACAAAGTTGCAAACGTGTAGTTGCTTTAGGCACGTTACTTTAATAACTTACCTTCCTAAACTGTCAGGTGTGCATTTCATGTGACCCAAATCTAAATCCTAACAACATTAAAAAAATATGTCACAGGTCGTGGGTGCATTTTATGTGGCGTGATCCAAAAACGTATTTTGTATAACGTTGAAATCTTCCTAAAATTAAATAAAAACAGGTAAAAACGCACATAGGTTTGAAAGTGTTCTAAAAATCACATAAATAGGCCAATAATAACAGTTGAGCGACCGTGCTAAAACCACGGAATTCGGGAATGCCTAACACCTTCTCCCGGGTTAACAAAATTCCTTACCCGGATTTCTGGTTTGCGGACTGTAATACAGAGTCAAATTTTTCTTCGATTTGGGATTTGAACCAGCGACACCATAAATTATCCTAAGTGGCGACTCTGATTCTTAGATAAATAATCCCGTTTCGATTGTCACTTTAAGTTGAAAAAAAACTACCTTATACCATTTCTGGGGTAGGTAAAAAGGGAGATGTGACAGCTCTGGCGACTCTGCTAGGGAACGAACCCAAAATCTCTGGTTCAGGATTCAGAATTCGAGCGTAGATGAATTGTTATAGTTGGCTTTATTTATTATCTGATTTTGTTACATGTTTGGGCCTAATGTGCTAAATGTTGCTTTTACCGCTTTGATATTCTATGAACTGTATATAAACTGCTACGAAACCCATCTCCTCTCTGAGTCTTCTAAATCATGGAGGAGTGTACACTTCGTGTGATTTCTCTTCTGTTAGAGTCATATCCCAAATTTAGAACGAGGTTCGGACAAGTTGCAAAGCCGGTGAAGCTTCTGTATTCTCGGTACGGTACCCCCCCTCCCCCGGCTCGAGTTGTCCGCTCGGTAAGCCAGGTCTAGAACAATAAACCCAGGTTTTAAACCTAGTATAACAAAGCCTAATGTCGGATCCCTAGTAGGAACATTTGTTTGCATCACGTGTATTTGACTTTGGAGACTTAACACAGGGGTTGGGTCTGTTTAGGACAGGTGTACCCGAAATGAAAAGGACCATCCTGATGCATCTTACTTGCTACTTGTGCATTTATTTGCTTCGTATTTGCATGTTGATCGGCTTATAAATAATGGGAGAAGGCTGAAAAAAAAAGAATAGCAATGTGAGGGTTAAGTGAGTTCGTTAGCTGTTTTGAAAAACCCAATGTCCAAATAGTGCTGAAACTCTGCCGAATTTTTTGAGAAAATAAAATGAAAAAAAGGAAAAAAAGAGGTTTTGTTTTTACAAATAATTGGTTTTGTTTTATTTGCCCGAACTACGCCAGTTTGATTCTCATAGGGTGTGGGATACGTTGGCAACCC